GAGTTAAACCATGACACCCCTACACACCAATTCAAGCCTGTGGTCCTATCTGAAAGGAAATCTTGGACTTTGCAAAAGGTGGCAGGTACCAGGAGTCTAATAATTCAAATCTAGACTCTCCATGTGCCTGTGAAGGAACTGGCCCATCACATCTGGTCTTGCTTCTGCAACTGCAGAACTAGAGTCCTACCCCTTCAGTACAGGACGTAACTAAACCTGTGTGCAAGGAGTGAAGCGAGGAAGGGAGCAAAAAGGCCACTGCCCGTGGCTGCGGCCTACAAACCCACATGGATGTAAACACGACTAACACCCACGGGGGGAGATCAACAGTACTAGGCAAGTTTCAATCAGTTATTAGCTGGAACTCCGACATTTTAATCCTCAGAAAACAGCGATAGAATTGTTTCTTCATTCTTTCAAAAACATTTAGTGGAAAGGCTGGATACAAAGATTTCAATAGAACTAAACAGATCAAGCACCATTAATAGTGCAGGAATAGGCATTTTACCATCACCTGGATGCTACTTTTTATAAATGAATCTATTCAAGTTTTTGCCTTGCCACACGAAACACATACAGATGTAAGAAAGCCATGCAAGCAACAGGCCCTCTCCCCAAAACCTCGGAACGTTAAACTGCCCACTGGCTGATGAGGAGGAAGAAAAAAAGAAGCATATTCACGTAACATTATTAAACTCAGAGACTCAGCAGCAGCAGGAGATTCACTCCATGCATCTCCCTTAAAACTCAAGTGGGATTTGTCACCCACTCTCTCCCCACATACTAATAAGAAATAAAGAGCAAAACTTTTAGCTGCCTGAAAAAGATGAATTCCACACCAAGAGCCTATTTATATTCTACAGTCAGGAAGTCAGATGAAGGATCACATCAGCGAAATGAGTTAGAAACTGGTGGGACACACTTGAAAAAACTATCACGTTGAATAAGGTTTAAGTTGGCTCATCCACTGGCTATTGGTAGTTCAGGCATTTGCACCTTCTTCAGGGACTAAGGAAATGGCACCAACAAATAATACTTGCAGTTAAGAAATTAATAAACTAAAAAGCAAAACTTTAACTTTTGGATACTAATTTCTGGCATGTATTTAAATTCAGTACAGGTACATAAATGCAGAATCAGTTATCACCCAAAGTCTTCTGTTTGCTGCAACACATTTGAATGGGTAAGAGGAAAACTGTGTTACTTCAACTCATCCCTTAAGTTTACAGAGCAAACTATGCCTCAGCAGGTACTTGGCATCCTCAGGGAAATGCTGAAGTACTTCACCTCATAACTAGAACAGTTTAACTTAAGCACTAAGCTGGCTTTCAGAATAAAAATAAAAAGTCCTTTGCACTTGTCAGACAGGGCTTTTATGGATAGACTGCTGGACCCTTAACTCTAAGACAACTGCTTACAGAGATAGCGCTTACAGTTTAACAACAGAGAGAACACACAAAAGCCCATACCTTTTGTTCCACACTGCTTAACAAGGGAGGAATATCAGAAGACGAGGAATTTGGCAGGCCCAGTGCATCAGAAATAGCTTGCACTTCCTGATATATTTCATTGTGCTTTTCCAAAGGAGAGCTTTTAACTTTCTTGTTGTGCAGTATCTTTAAAGCCTGAAGTTCTGTACTTAGAAATACTAGGGAGAAAAGTGTCACAATGGCAGATTTAGAGACACTTGAATATTTCTACATCCACATCCTCATATGCAAATACAATATATACATTTATAATAAGACCATGAGAATAATTAGACTGTCAGTTCTCTTCTGGAGAGGTCAGAATCATTTTCCCATTCTTGATCGCAACTAACTCTCACCTGACTTCCTACCTTCAGCCCATGCATCATATTTAACTGCTTAACCCACTTCTGCCACCAGATCCCTAGTTCCTTGTCTAGTTTCACATTATCGCACTGGCTCCTACTGCTATTCCTTTGTCCAAGTCCAGCCTAAACCTGAACGTTGCTTCTCTCAATCTTGCTTTCAGCACCTTCAAATCGCATAATATTTTCTTTTAAGCTGTCAAGAAACTTCTCAGAAACACAGGAAGCAAGGGCTCAGTTTCAGCTGAGCTGGAACTGGACTGAGAGAGGGATCAGGAAGCCTCAGTACGCTGAACCATACACAAGGAATTTTAGTTTCTGCTAAAATAGTTATCTAACAGTTCTCTGTTTTCCACTGTGAACACACTGCACAAGTGAGCTGATCCATGCTCAGCTAGGTAGTAATGATGGCACACATGTACTTAAATACACATAAAGAACTATTTCATGTACATTGTACAGAGCATGCATGTAAACCGATGTATTATAAATGGGAAACATGGTTATAACTTACAGAGGAGTTTAAGACAATCTTCTTTCTCTCTTAATCTGTCCTTGATGTCTCCAGATACGAGTGATGAATATGGACACGCCATTTCTCTCAGAAAGCCACTAATCTCCAGCTGGAAGCTCTCTATATCTTTATCACCTATGAGAATAAATAAATGCAAACTAATGGCATTTTTTTACAGAAAAATCAAACTGCAATCTGATTTTCTTAACTTATACATTTAAATTGCAGGTTTCAACAGCCCAGACAAAGATTTATCACATACCACCCTAGTAACATTTTCTTTCTTGAAATCCTGCACAGAAGCAGACTTTAGTCTTCTAATAGCTACAGCACTATTGTACTCATGCTCTGAACAAGAAGGTGATGCTACATTCGTCTTTCAAGACACGAATGCAAATGAACAACACTAGGAAATTAACAGCTTATGTCACAAAACAACCTATTAATGTAATTAATTTTCTGATGAACAAGTTACAGGAGTCATAAGACCATTATTTTCAATGGTTGTTTTTAGTTCTGCTACTTTTTTGTTACAACAGGAGCAATATAAAATCTCATCCAAGTTCCAGCACTCATCAGAAAGAAATCGGGTAGTGCTAATGAGCAACTAAGCATACCTGCACACGGTGCTGAATGGAATGCTGCACTGGACCAACTAGCTGAAAATACCAGGCACTGGAATTTAAGCCATCAAAGTACGGTTACAGATAACAACCACTCATAAGGATGTATAAATGTACTCTTACATTTACGTAGATCTAAAAAAGCCAGAACCTAAAACGACCTTTTTTTTTTTGGAAAGAATCATCACAAGACCAGACCTTAATCTAAGAGCCACATATGTGTAAATATCAGCCTCTGCTGGGCTAACTTTCAGCTATCTTCTAAACTTCAACACTGTAATTTCACTATTAGCTGAAAAACATGAGTCTAAATCCACTGAACAAATGCTAAACTGCCTTAATAAATTAACTTTCATGTACCATCTGTTGCCGTGATGCTTTCTTCCATATTACAAAGTGACTTTATTTGGGAACCTAACCAAACGCAAAGCTCAAAAAATTCCGGCGAAGACAATCCATTTTCTGCTGCTTTGTTCAGGGCTTCCTCCTCCAACAGGGGACCCGTATACCTGCACGGAGAGACAAACGTTAGGGATGAGAAGCAAGTGTAACATAAAATACACGCATTTTAAAATCATTTTAATCAGGTTAATAACTACACTTAAAGAAATTGATCTTTGTGAGTTACTTCTGTCAAGGAATAATTCAGACTTTCTTTAAACACAGTAAAAAATGAGTGCTAACTTACAAACAAAGTGGTTTGTCAGAAAACAGGAGACAAGCTTTGTGACGTATCGCATGCGTATGTGAACACAGAGTTTCGTGTCTCACTACATGCTGAACAGACAAGATTTCAAGTGTTCAGTCTAACACACTTCCTTCCAACTCACTGCCCCAGAGTACTGGCAGTAAGGGAACTGAAGACTAAGCCCGATTTCACACTGTTCCTGCCCTGCTGCAGCCGAAGCACCTTGGCGGGGGGCAGGCAGGCATGACTGGACCGGGCGGGCAGCCCGGCCGGTGGGAGGCCCGGCCGCC